AATCAATTCCTAAAAAGGACCTTATTTTAGATATAGCAAGAAACATATTGGGCTGCTTACTCATGTGTATATACACTGCAGGCAGCAGTACTTTTACTTGCCAATCCTTTGTTCATTTCTCTAGGTAAAATTATTTTATGATATAATCATACTTGATACCATCCGGCACACAGTTTGCTACAAAGAAGAAAATGAAGAATATTTTGAATGCTCTAATTTCACAGGTATTGGGTAAAGGAAGGAGCATATTAAAAATAAAATGTAATAAAGGTGCAACAATCAGCCGAGACAAACGATACATATCAAACTGGTTAATTACTTTTCTTTCAAACATGTCCTTGAAATTAAAGTTCAATTATTCTCCAATTTTGAAGAAGCAGAGCAAATTAAACAGGACGATACATATAGAAGATGAAAGACAAGTACATCATTTTATTGCTGCTTGGGATTTCAGCAAGGAGTTCTCCTATCTTCCCCCCTGGGGGATCAATGTTACAAGCCTAAGGTCTCCACATCTTTGTATAAGGAATGTAGGTGAGGGCATGTTGTACAACAGGTCTTTTGTGTTAAAAAACAGAGCTTGTCCATTTACATTTGTATTGTTGTTAGGACAAGAGATCCTTAACCATGATTTTGGATAGCAGTGAGGTCCTACTCTGCCCCACTAAACCTTATATGCAACATTGTAAGAGAAGAAGAAGCATGCTTACATTTCTGGTGGCCCGAGTCTACTACCTTTCATTTATTCCTGTGCCACAACCTTCATATGTATTTTCAGCTTTTGCCACTTTCGGAAGCTTTGGATGCTTGTGTCCCCTGGTGTAAGTCTTAGTTCCTTCTTGCAACTTCTGCATCACTGCTGATTCCTGCAGTGCACTAGGGGTTGTAGGAAGGAACTACGAAATGTGGTGGAGACACATGATTCAGCCACTTCCAGAAGTATTGAATGGCAAAGAGTTTATAGAGGCTGCAGTATTGGAATAGAGAGGTCAGGAGACACTTGGGTTGATTTACTAAAACTGGAGAGTACAAAATCTGGTGCAGCTCTGCATAGAAACCAATCAGCTTACATTTTTTATTGTCAAAGCTTAGTTGAACAAACTGAAGTTAGAAGCTGATTGGCTACCATGCACCAGATTTTGCACTCTCTAGTTTCAGTAAATTAACCCCACAGCCATCGATGAATGTGTAGTACCTCTTCTCTTACAGGGACTTGCAATTGTAAATTATTGAAAGATCTGACAGAGACACTTTACATTTTCTGTACAGCATAATGTGTACCAGATGATGCTATTTTTGGTGACTTGTGTAAAAATACTACATTGCTTCTTAGGATTTTACATTTTCTCTTATTCCTTTAGAAAATTTACTTGGGAATATGCTGTTAACATATTTTAGCAAAACTCTCCATAGAAAAACTTTTTTATCAATGTTTATGAAAATGGCTTTTAAGAACCTCTCCAATTCCCGTGCCAACTAATAAAAATACCAGTATAGATAATTTATACTTTGTGCTTTGGAAATACATATAACAATATAAACACTGATAAATACTCTGGTGATAAATGCTTTTCTAATTCTTACTACTGCTTACTATTTCAGCTTGCACCAACAATAATGCAGACAAATTGTGCAGTATTTTTTTATCATAAATAGAATAGTGGCCATGAAGCTTTAAATATGTTTAGGTCATATTGTCACATTTTGATCACTGCAAATAGCCCCTCAGGAACACTTAGCCAGTGTATGTGCTACAAAAGTAATTCACCCTTCCTTACAATCCTTCCATAATGTACAGCATGTGTAAAGGCTGTAAGTGATCATTGCAGTTATGATATTTGGCAAATCATGCACAAAACCCAGCAGATAAACCATTCAACTAGGAGAGATGTCCACATAGAAAAATCACCTGCCATTTGTTACTGCTATTCTCTAAAATAATCTTTACATCTGTAAAGTCTTGAATAAGATTATTTGTGACTCTTGTGCAAGAATATGTATTGCACAGATCATAAATTATGTCTGGCTTTTGCTAATGGGGACCCATAAGGTCCACTGGTCCTGTGATGAATTACACATACTGTAACATTTTCAATAATAGTAGCATATCATGCCTGAGTGCCAAACAATGAATTTATTATTTTAAAATAGTTATTTAGGCATCATTTAGAAAGTATGTATATGATCTCTTCAAGCTACAGTTGTAGGCCTGTGTGTGTACTAAACATCATCCCATTCTTGGACAACACTTAAGTACAGTTATTGGAAGCAGCAGTATTGCATGTCTACATTGATTTTATGCACATGACTTCTCCATGCTGCCATTCCATACTTAAGTAGGTGGGTCTAGTTTAGCCTCTTAACTCTGGCAATAAAGGATGTGTCTATTTTGTTCAATTTTTTGTTTTTTAAATTGACAGTGTTTCTTTTTTCCTTTATTTGTTCCTTTTGTGCCATTAGCACTGTAATTACTATCATTGTCTGTTTAACACATATCAACATTTGTTTTATACTGTAATGACTGTGCCTTTGGATGTGCTTCCTGCCGAAAGTGGACATGAAAGAAGCAAAGGGTGTTCCATTTAAAATGTAAACAGTTTACAATCCAAGATCAAGAATTCTAGCTATGATATATTTCTCTGGACTGGCCACAACATTGGCTATATGATACAACAAACAGTGTCTTCAATGATACTCATTTGCATATCTTGCCCTAGAGCTTGAAATTTTATATTAGGGTTTGGCTGCAATGTGGAGTGTGTGTATGCCTAGTTCAAATGTGTGTCTAATTCAAAGCTGGAATTTAATTATGAGCCTTTTTCATAACAAGATGAAATCTGACCACCATGCAGCTTGGCTTTGCGCCTTAGATAGAAGCATGCAACATCAGAAGAATAACATGATACCGTGAAGGTTATAATACATGATTGGATTTTAACACTACATAACATATAGACACAAATCACTTGATTTGCAGTGTTGCTGAATCTCATATTTTTTGGCTAATTGCAAATTTTCAACCTACCTGAATAAATGCTAAAAGATTTTTCCAACCTGCAGAGAATACAGTTCAGAAATCTAAGAACTCAGGATTAATATCTGCCTTATACACATAAGCAGGTTTGTCCACAAATCAAAATTTGATTACTTCAAACGTAACGGCTGAACTCTGTAGATACGGAATACTTGATGCATCAACTCATTCTACTATATGTGACTTGGGCTATGCTTAGGAATGCGCCCTTTTCTGATACCAAACAGCATAGATTTCTAGTGTTGAGGAAAGTTTTCATGATCTCATGATCTACTTCATTGAAGTTTTTTTTACTGTTAATATTAATATGGATTTTTTTTGCTCTTATCTCTTAGTTGGTCAGGTTTTGCTCCGTATGTTGGCTTATTTGGACCTTTGTTATGTGGACTAATTCCATAGGCTATGCGTCAACTGTTTGACACCTGTGTTCTCTTCTTTATGTACTTAAATAAAACCTTAAATAAATAAATTAAAAAAGTATTACTTGTTTTACTGTATTCTCAATTTAAATGTTTTAGTAGTTAAATAGGACTTATACTATTTAATCAATAGATTACTAACATCTAAATTCAAATGAATAAAATGTTCTGTTATGCAGATGGATTTTGCTAATCTTTGTTCAAGTGATATTGGATCTAGTGCATTTAGAGGCTGAGTTAAGCTACTTCTTAAAATGGTAATGTGCATATGGCAGTTGGAATGAACTGGTATATGTCTACAAGCCTATTCAACAGAGCAAAGCACAATGTATGAAATGCAGCAATGCAAGCCAACTGTGCCGTTTCATCTATCACAGATCTGTCTTTAAATAGATTAGTATAAGCTGAAGCACACTGTGCACCATCACTCCTTAATACAATTTATGAAATATATGGTAGTTATACTTTATTCCCAATTATATAATATTTACTACCTGTGCCTATTGTTTTATCTTGTGATTGGAAAATGAAGCATGTGTGACAAAACCTGTATTGCTTATCAATATGGTACATACTATTCCTGTTGTAGCTGTTATAGTTATTAAATCCCCATGGCTTGCAAAAATAATATGAGTCAAAATCTTCAATATAGGCAGTATCTTCTCTAAGTAGTGAAATACTTCCAGTGTACATCCGAAAGTTCTAATGGCCAGGTATAAGTCACTTTACAAACCTGCATTTTTTTTCACTGACAAGCAGAAAAAACTTACAGGATACCCCAAAAGACTGAAAAATAGATTTACATCTCCCCACAAGTAACTGCATGTATCACAATGGTGCCATTAAATACTTATATGAGTTAAAGGTCATACTTTCTTTAAAAAAATACTTGAAAAAGTGACTCTAAAATAAAGAAATATAGCATCACACTTGATCAATATGATCATAAACGTGAAACCTTTGTAAATGGATATACACTGTGAGCTTGTTTAAAGGGTGAGAAAATGGCTTCAAAGTGTTAACTTGTAGGTTCAGCTGAAGCTAAATGAACATAATTTATCACAAAGAACATTGATAAATAAGACTTTTCCAATTCTCATTTCTCACCCCATAAAGGTTTTTGTTCCTAAAAGTCTGCCAATAGACATATATATTATTAAAATACCCAACTCTCATCTGATATCTGGCATCATAACAATTTGCAGATTGATATTGATGGCAGCCAAACAAGTACACAGAAAAGTAGGTGATACCAAATTGCTACATAATGTGGGAACAAGGACGGACTCTAAAAAGATGTGTAAAAAATCTGATTAGTTCAGACTAAGAAACCTTCCCACTATGCACATGAACTTCTGCTACATGTAAGTGTCAGCAAATGATAACTCTGATGCTGAAAGGAGTTTCTTTTATGTCTGACGAAGTTTATGTTAAATTATGCATTCAACACAGCGGTAAACGGTGAGACAAAGCACTAAACTTTTATCTTGATGTGAGTAACCATTGTAATGTCTTTTCAGAAAGTGCTCAAACATGAAAGCAGAGGCTTAGTTCCAAAACCATTTTTCCAGATTACTGACAGATTTGTACTCCTGATGTCTTTTAACATGATCACATGCTAGGCAAGCGTGAGACTCCCAGAAATGGGGCAAGTTCACTGTGTAGTATTTCCTCCAGTTGAAGTATGCCAGATAGCGCTCAGTATCTTTGTTCAGAATTAACAGATAATCTGCCAACTCTCTTGGAGAGAGAAAATCTTCCACATGGATGAAAGAGTCTGCTGGTATATAATTTTCATAGTTTTCTCTTGGTGGACCTAGCACAATGGGCACCGATCCTGCCAGTAATGCATTATAAAGTTTTTCTGTTATGTAGTCCTTATGGAGAGAATTTTCAAATGACAAATAAAATTTACAAGTAGAGATGGTTGGAATCAAGCTTTTATCACTCAAGTATTCCCCAAAGGCTTGGCCAAAAGTCAGGATTTCAATGTATTTGTTGAGATCATTGTAATATTTGACTCTCACATGATCAGGATTCCAATTGCTCACAACCCAACAGACCAGTTTATCCTTGCTTGGCACTTCAAATTCAAAGGGCTGAGTGCTTACGACCATAAAGCCATAAGGCACCTGAATGTCTGAGTCCCGTCTGTAGGTCAATGTGAGATTAAATAAATGTTCAATTCCACTTTTTTGTGGTGTATGGGTTGGTGACTCTAGATTCATCCAAATCCATTTTTGAAAGGGTGGTCTTACTTGCACTGGTAGGTTTGTCAAATCCCAGGTGATATCCCTGTGATGTATAAGAACTGCATGGGATTTGTTGTACAGTGTGCGGTCAGTAGTTAAATGGCACCCACGGATATTAAAAAGAGCTTCACAAGACTGGAGTTCAAAGGTTTGTCCGAAAGGCCATACCCAAATAAGAACAATGGTTTCATTGTAATCCTCCCTTTTACTAGAGAAAAAATTCTTCATCTTAAGTACAGAGTTAGCTGATTCTATTGGGCTGGAGATCCAATTGTTTGTTGGTTTCACATATATCAATATACATACCATGAAACAGATCAACACAATGCAGACAACTAGAAATGGTCGGAAAATGCCTTTAGATGTTGATGTCATACTTTGCCCTGAAAAAAAAAATCAAAATGCTAGATTAACACAATATAGTTTAACTAGATAAAAGCAGAAATACAGTCCCAGACCTCAATTTCGTATGGATTTTTTCTTTTCTTTCTAGATGTACGGCTTAACTGCAGCAGAAAACGTCAGGTCACCAGACTTGCTATGCTGTGTGGCCAATGAATTTGGCAGGTAAGACAACTCTTAGGCAGATCCGCCTGCTCAGCATGGGGTCTCTCTGCTGCTCCCCGCTGAGCAGGCGGATGACAGGTCTCCGTCTGCTCTGCTGCTACAGAGCAGACAGCAGACACAGACACGACCCGCTGACTTCTGCTTGTCCATTTCCACCCAACTGTCATCCGATCCGATCTGCTGGCCAGATGGGGAACGTCTGTTTTTGGTTTACAGGATTGGATCGAATGCTGGCGGGTGTCCGGTCCATAGAGGTCTATGGATGGTCCAATCAGGTCCACTGCAAAAAAAAACTGACTGGCGGGCCCAATCGGATTGTCCAAGGGGCCTAGTATATGTATTTTATCTATGTTTTTAGTTGTTTACCTGAAGTTTAGCCTTAAAGGTTTAGCCTTGAAATGCACACATTATAATTTAGGCACAGAATTCATTCAATTGCATTCCTGCATATGTCATTCTGGAGAATACATAGACATAGGTTAATGACTGTTTTTTTTTTTAATTCCCTGATAAATATTTTTTCTCTTTGCAGTTTAAATCTTTCCTTAAGATTAAGCAATCTTTGATTGCCCTAAACATAGATTTCAGCCTTTTTTCAATTTACAGCCCTTATAAATGCGATGCCCAACATGATACATCATAAAAATTCCTGGTGAATATAAAATATGAAACGGTTTCAAGTAAATAAATAACAAATACATAACATTTTAAAAAAGGGCAACAAAGAAACATTTGCTAAATTATATAAAAAAAAGATTATTTCTATTTAAAACATTTACTATTTACCCCTTTGTGTGTAGCAAAACAAGGATTTATGTATAGTATGTCTGTGGGTCTATGTGGGTTCAAGTGTGTGTCTCTGAACACAGTGTTTGTTTGGGGACATGCACCCACAAGCACCTGCACCTACACAGATATCAAAATGGGAGCAGCAACTGTGTCTGTGCAGGCGCTGCATCCCAATTGACATTAATTAGACTGCCTGCACCTGTGCAGGCAAAGAGGGCCTGCACAGGCGCATTTAAGTACACCTGTGTGAATGAGGCCCATCTTTACAATATGCATGATGTGAGCGTTTGATTTTTACTTTGTGTTTGCTTTTTAGTACTACTTTATGGCAATTTTACAATTTTTTTTTCTTCTTGTTCAACATATCTGTAATTTTGCATGTTTTTAATTATTAGAGGACTAGAAATTGGTTGTTTAAGTCAGTTTTAAAATATATCTAATGGGAACTTTTTGTCTATTTTGAACTGTGGAATGATTAGAACCCTGTGAGATTTTTATAGCAGTCTGTGTTCCTGCTAAGGAGATTCACTCTCTCTGTTTGTCTTGGCAACCACTGTCAGTACCATCAAAAGTGGGAGAAATTTCTAAATTTGAACCCTTTTGTTGCCGCTGACATAACTATTTCAGCAATGCAGTGTATGCATGTAAACAAATTCCTGGCAGCTAAATCAGCCAGGTGTTTGTTTATAGCTTTTTTCATAACTGCCAGCCTTCTTGTAGAAGTGGTTTATCTGGTTGTAAAGCCAACACCTTCCCTTCTATATGCTTCTACTCCAAGACAATTATCCAAAACTATTTACCTACTTTTTAGTGATGTCTTAGGAAAAGCATAACATCTCCTGGCTGGGGCAGATCACAGCCATAGAGAAGACTTTACTGAACAAATTTTTGTACCACAATATTTTCCTTTTTTGTACAATTTGTATGGAAAGGCATATCCCACCAATAATGAATTCATTTATTATAGGTACTTGTATAGCACTGGCAATTAGTATAGGGCTTTACATACTGTACATTCACATTAGTCCCTGCCCTCAAGGAGCTTACATTCTAATATCCCTATCTCACATACATACATTCTTACTAGTAGGGATGAGTCAAACATGCAAAGGTTTGGTTCGAGGCAGGTCTGGCAAACCTTACAGCTGTTTGGGTGCCAAAATCAAACCCTATTGAATTAAATGAAAGTTGTTAGAAATCATTCCATTCTTTTCTAGACTAATAGGCAAGAGATTGTTAAACAAATTGTATTGTGGCTGGGCACTGTCCTGGGGAACACATGCCACAGCAAAAAAATATAAAATCAAGTGCTGTTTAGTGGGGAACAGCAATTTTAAAAATGCTTAAAGTGGTGCATTACAATGCAAATTCCTATAAATAACATGCCTGGGGGATGCCCTTAACCTGCTTTTGAAGTGGCACATTTGTGTGATGTATACAACCAACTGCAGCAAAACTTACAATTACCAAGACAAAATACTGTTTAAATTGCTGGCAGTTGATAGCTTCAACCACTTTACTTCTGTTTGTAAATAAAGTGGCTGCAGATTTCCTTCACCTATACCAGACTCTTATCCTAGTTAAAGACTCCCATGCAAGAAAAAAAAATGTTGCTGGGGTTCAAGCTAAAGATTCATACAAGACCATTATCCTTTTTAATTACATATATATATAATGTTTTGGGGGGTTTTAAGTAATCTTCAGGCCTCAGATGCACATTTTTAACATTTGTGCAAAAATGTCTACAGAATAGGAAGTGAAAAGAAATCTCTTGAACAGAAAAAAAAAAAAACTGATAGGGTTTTAACCATTCCCTACTCTCTCCAAAACAGAAAAAAAAGTTTAGGCTTTGGTTATAAAGTATAATCTGTAGATAGAATCACAAGAATGTGATCCAAAACATGTGTTGGTGACATATGAGGAGCAAGCTTTAAAGGCCACAGGGTCCAAAAGCTATAGACTTCAAAAGAGAGCTAAGGCCAGGTAATACCAGCACCTGTAGTACAGTATGTTGCAATTACATTGTTTGCAAATCTGCATATCAGACTGTATTTGTATATGTGTTTTAGTATAAGGGTTGATTAGTATTTACAAGTTTTGTAAGGCTATAGACTTCAAAAGGTTACAGATATTATAGCTAAGGTTAGGTAATACTGGAGCCTGTGTTATATAATTACACTGTTTGCATATCTATTCCAGCCATGGTGCTCACACATTGAGGAATGTATGTGGACAGCCTGTATTTTTATATGTTTCTTGGTATACGGATAGGTTAATATTGACAATATTTTTCCAAAATAGAATGGAAGGTAGTTAGACATTTTCAAATGCATTCTGGCATAATACAGATTTAAACCAAGAAATGTTCTTTCTGCATTAGTGGGGGTCAGGTTCTCCTCCAGACCCAATAAGCAGCTCAAGGGGGACATTGAAAGTGTCATGGTAGTGGAATCCACTATGTAGTGAGATATTTCCTGCCCATACTATAATATTTTGGTACAAATGCATGTGGAAGAAATCACCATCAGCAATACGCTCTGTGTGGGAACGTAATTACTACACATTTATTGTAGGCCTAAAGATAACATATCAGCATTTTATTCTAATCCACTCTATCCATACCTTTAACGTCCCATTTTCACTTTTGTTCAGGATTATTTAAATTAAAGGATAAGTTCACCTTTTAGACAAAAATAATAAATGCACATAAAAAAATGTGCATTTATGATTTTTGTCTACAGGAGCCTGGAAAGCATTGCACCAGCAATCAGTAGATCGCTGATGCCATGAAGGTCTCCTGCAGACCTGTCAGAATATCTGCTTGCTGTACGGGATGTACAAGCAAGTAGATATTCTCACAGAAAGCTTTAATAAACTACCACGGCACTCCACAGCGCATGAAGGTGGGTGGCCAAGATGGTCACATATTATGTGGTTTTCTGTTAGGGAAAGATACCAAAAGTATTTAATCTTCAGTGATTTCAGCAGCCAAAGAAGAGCACACCTAATTAATCCCATAGCCACTGTGTCTAGGCTATAGTAGTACAGGGGTCTTGTATATGTGAGGTTGTAGTAGTGTATAAGTTTATGTAAGAAAGCTTGCTTTTGTTTTTTTGGGTTGTGTGGCGGTGTCACAAGATGGCTATACATAAAAATGTGGCTCTGAGACTTTCATAGGTATCAGCCCTAGGTGAAGCGGCATAAAATGCCTCCACAGATTTTTCTTTCACATGAAGGTGTCAGGTTTAGCTGCTTGTTCCTGTGTAATAAATTTTCAAGGGAATTACACTTGCTGTATAAATGCCTTAAGCTGAGTACACATGGGACAAAATTGTCTAAAAATGGTCAGTTCGGCAGGAACAGCTCTGACAGAAACTGGTCTCACAACCAGCTTTTGTTGAACAGTCATGCTGGAAATCCAGTCAGATCAGTGTGATATGATATCTGAAGTTAAAGTGGTTGTAAACCTCAGACATGAAAAAAACATATCCCTCAATAGTTTGTAGTTGTCTCAATCCAGAGCACTCATTTCTGTCCACTGCTTCTTTCCTTTGCTATAAGCATGAGTCACTTATGATGCGTTTTCCTGACACCAAGAGAAAAATGGTGACAGGGGAGGGCACAGCCTGTGATTGACAGCCTCAGCTCTGTTCCAGTGTGCTGTGTGAAGGGGGTGTGTCCTTTCCTTCCAATCACTCTCAGAGCTCTCCTCACTGATGTAACTTCAGCTCCCCACCCCCTGCTTTTCAGAGCTGAGAGATTCTGTGTACAGTCTGCACTTTGAATGGATGTAGAGAAGAGAATACTGAAGATAGACAGGTACAACTTGTGTAGGATGATTTGTTTAATCTCTGTCTCACCTGAGGCCTGTCACTTTACTGGGTATATGTAAGGGTTTACAACCACCTTGAGATACATAACGGCATCTATCCATGGAAAATATAGGTGGCATTTTAGTGAGGTCTAATAGCTTTGTGAGCATTCAGTCCTCTGTGAAAAACCCAGGATTCTGACATTTATGAGGTGCAGATGGTT